CTGAACAAATTAATTATGTAAAGGCCATATATGACAAACCCGTAGCCAGCATTATACTGAATGGGGGAAAAGTTGAAAGCTTTTCCTCTAAGGACAGGCACAAGACAAGGATGCCCACCTTCATCACTTCCATTCCGCATAGTACTAAAGTCTTAGCCAGAACAATTAGGCAGAATTAAAAAAAAAAAAAAAAAAAAAAGGAATCCAAATTGGAAAGAAGTTAAATTAACTGTTTACAGGTGGTATGATGTTATACTTAGAAAACCCTAAAGAACCAAAAACTCTTAGAACTGATAAGCAAATTTACTAATGTTGCAGGATACAAAATCGACATACAAAAATCAAGTTTCTAGTTATCTGAAAAAGAAATTAAGAAAGCAATTCCCTTTATAATATCTACACTATTCATAAATTAAAGAATTACTATTGTTCAAATGGTCATACCACCCAACATGATCTACAGATTTGATGCAATCCCTATAAAAATACTAATAACGTTCTTCACAAAAATAGAAAATATAAATTTAAAATTAGTACAGAACCAAAAGAGACCTCAAATCGCCAAAGAAATCTGAGCAAAAAGAATAAAGCTAGAGGCACAACACTACCTGACTTCCAAATGTAATAACCAAACAGCATGGTACTGACATAAAAACATACAAATAGGCCACTGAAACAGAATAGAGAGTCTAGAAATAAATCTGTGCATTTACAGCCAACTGATATTTGACAAAAGTGACAAGAATATACATTGAGGAATGGGCAAACTTTTCAATGAACAATTCTGAGAAAACTGGATATCCATGTGAAGAATAAAATTAGGCCCCTATCACTCAACTCAAAATGAATTAAAGACTTAACTGTAAGACCCCAAACTATAAAAGAACTAGAAGAAAACATATGGAAATGTCTAGGCAAAGATTTTATGAAGAGGACCTCAAAAGCACGGACAACAAAAGCAAAATTGGAAAAATGGGATTACACCAAACTTAAAATCATCTGCATAACAAAACAATCAGCAGAATGAAGATACAACCTACAGAATGAGAGAAAATACTTGAAACTGTGCATTCAACAAGAACTTAATATTCAATATATATGACGAACTCAACTCAAAAACAAGAAACAAATAACCTTATTAAAAAGGATAAAAGACCTGACAAGACATTTCCTAAACAAAGACATATAAATAGCCAAAATGTATATGAAAAAATGTTCAACATCACTGACATCAGGGAAATGCAAATCAAAACCACAATGAGATATCACTTCACACCTCTTAGAACGGCTGTTATCAACAAGACAAAATGTAAGCATTGGTCAGCTTGTGGAGAATGGGGAAACTTCCTACACTGTTGGTGAGAATGTAAATTAATAGTCACCATGGAAAACAGTATGGAGGTCCTCAAAATAGTAAAAGTAGAACTACTCTATGATCCAGCAATCCTACCACTGGTTATATACCCAGAAAATGAAATCAGGATGTTCAAAAAATATCTGCACTCCGATGTTTATTACAGCAGTATTCACAAAATATGGTATATATAAACAATGGAATACTATTTAGCTATATAAAAATCATTTTCTTTACAATGACATGGATAAACTTGGAGAACATTATGTTAAATGAAATAAGCCAGGCACAGAAAGACAAATATTGAGTGATCTCACTCATAGGTGAAATCTAAGAAAGCTTATCTCATAGTAGAGAGTAGAATGGTAGTTACAAGGGGCTGGGGTATTTGGATGGGGAGGAGGAGATGTGGGTCTAAGAATAGATAATCGCATTTACATAGGAGGAGTAAAAAAAAATGTCGTCAAGAAAAAGCAAACAAATACAAACAGATACGAGAAAATAATTACCAGGGGCCATTGAGGGGGGTAGGGACAGAAACGGAATGACTACTAATGATTATGGAGTTTCTTTATGGGATGATAAAAATATTCTAGGATTGACAGTGGTGACTGATGTTGCACAAGTGTGAAAATACTAAAAACCACTGGATTGTACATTTTAAATTGGTGAAATGTATAATATGTGACTTATATTTCAATAAAGCTGTTAAATTAATTAAAAATAAACTGGATAATTATTAAATTAAAAATTTTCATGCTTCAGTGTTCACTATGAAAAAAGTGAGACAATGCACAGAATTAGAGAAAATTTTTTCAAATAATACACCTGATAAGATAATCATGTTTAGAATATTTAAAGAACACATAACTGAAAAACAACAACAAAATGATCCAATTTAAAAATTGGTGAAAAACTTGAATAGACACTTCTCCAAGGAAAATATACAAACGGCCAATAAGCACACAGAACGTCCGCACAACATCATCACATCATTAGTGTTCAGTATTCAAGAAACGCTAAACAAAACAAGAAGGAGATACTTCAATACATAATATGTTGGCCATATTCAGTAAGTCAGATAATAACTGTTGTTAGTGAGGATGTGGAGAAACTTGAACTGTCTTCCACTCTTGGAGGGAATTAAAATGATGCTGATACTCTGGAGAACAGTGTGGCAGTTTCTCAAAAGTTTAAAACTAGAGTTTCCGGGCCGGCCTGGTGGCGCACTGCTATAGTGTGTGTCACTTGGGAAGCGCGGTGGTGCTCCCGCCGAGGGTTCGGATCCCACATACAGACCGGTTCCCGCTCACTGGCTGAGCGAGGCACGGGAGCGACACCAAGGGTTGCGATCCCGTTGCCGGTCCGGGTCCAGTACGGGGGCGACACTGAGGGTTGCAATCCGTTGCCGGACACGGAAAGAGAAAAAAAAAAAAAAAAAAAAAAAAACTAGAGTTTCCTTATAACCCTGGTATTCTACTCTTAAGTGTGTAACCAAAAGTAAAAGAAAATATGCACACAAAAAACTGCATACAAATGTTCATATCAGCATTATGCATAATAGTTAAATGTAGAAACAACTTAAATATGCCCAAATGTAAATGAATAAGAAAAACCCATTTTAATGATATGTCCTGAATATTCATATCCTTAGTGACAGAAAGTGGATTAGTGATAGTAAAGGTGAAACACGACTGTTACGAAGCATAGAATTTGCCGTTGGGTGATGAAATGTTCTGGAATTTGACAGATGTGGCACAACTCTGTGAACATACTAAATACCACTGAATTGTATACTTCAAAGTGGAGAAATTCATGGTGTGTGAATTATCCCTCAATAAAACTGTTTTAGAAAAAGCTATTTCAGAATTATGGGGAAAAAGTAGAAAGATCTGACCATTCGAAAGGTTAATAATATAGGAAAAACTTTAATAAGTCAGATTTTATGAAATAAGTGAAAAACATGTACATAAAACTCTGATAAGATGAAAACTGAAAAATGGAGAAAGATAACATTTTAAACAGAAATAATAAAATCTACTTTAATAAAATGGCAAAGCTGAATATCTAGATGAAGTGGATGATATTCTGAAAAAAAAAAATGCTAAGAACAGCATAAAGTGAAACAGTATTCATATAGGACAAACCTTAAAGGAAAGATTTTTTTCTGAGTTCCCTTTGAAATGTGAGCTACAACAGTTAATTTTTTAAAGTAACTTTTAAAGGAACGAACAGATACTTCCTAATTTTTGCATATTATTAAAAAATTTAGAGATTAAGAAGGCATTGCAAAATAAATTTTAGAAGTTTAAAACTTATTTTAAAATAATATAAAAATACTTATATGCTATGGCAAATTTCACTTATTAACCTAGATGTAAAATACTGTAAATAAAATATACATCAAAGTGTAACAGCTTGTTTTAAAATAAAACCTCACGATGAATTAAAGAAAAGGAAAGAGTTTTGCATCCGAAAATCGATTTTGTCTATTAAAGATTAATGAATAAAAAACTAGAGACGAGGTATGGTCTGGGTACTGCTCCCAAATGAGTTTTTTCCTTAGTATTACGATCAAACAGTTTCCCTTTGTCTTACTCTAACAAAAATGGCATTCTTCTGCGAAATGTGACCATCTATTTTATTTTAGCGCCTGATACGTTTTATTTGATACACGGTCAGTTTCTGTTTACGCAAGAAGTCTGTTCTTATAAAAAGACAACCAATTTTTTAGTTCCCATACTATAGCTAAGTTTAGGCAATGTGTTTTTTTTTTTTTTTTTTTTTTTTTAAGCTAATTGCACGGTAGTTAAGAGTGTTGCACTGAAAGGTCAATGTTATTGTCTGTCCAAATATTTGTAAATATTTTTTAATTTACTCTGTTCCTTAGTTATTTTTAGCTGGAATGCATCACATGTTTGGAAACAGTATTTATAAAAGCTTTTTTACTTTTTTTTGTCATGAAGTCCAATTTTCATTTGGTAAAAATGTAGTGATAAGAAATATACACATGGCAGACGTATTGCAAGTGAAATAGTGTACACGAAAATTAACATTATACCGTACGATGGTCTCCAGGTTGTAAAACTGTAGTCCATCCCGCGTTTTCTTCACATCAAGGTGAAGTATGGAGCTGGGAACTAGGTAAGTTTTAAAAGTCTGTTACCATAGACTTTTTACGCGCACTCGGGATGCCGCGGCTTGCACTGGAATTTAAAAAAGAAGAAGATGAAGTAGCATTTGTATCGGCATTTCAACAAAGGTAGACTTTTGCTGGAGAAGCCTTTGCTCAACTATACTGGCACCTTTCATTGTCCTTTCATCTAATGCGCAGGCGTAATATGCGCAGTGGTTTCATTAAAAAAGATCCGGCAGTACTATTTACGATCTCGCTCTAACGTTTCGTTGCTGGTACACGTAATATTGGTCGAGTGACTACTTTGTGGCTATTTTCTTGCGGCGAACTTATTTCACTTGTCTTCAACTTGTACTTAACATGAAGTACGTTTGTAAGGTTTAAAGGTAATGCAACGAGAAGCTATCCGCGGATTGACACGACATGTAGAAGAAGGAAAAGCTAAGAGTTCAAAATGGTGGTTGTAAGGCGAAGAATCGCGCCGACTGGTAGGCAGCTACACTAATGAAGTAACACTGAAATTTGGAAGAAAATGAACTTCCTCTGGGTCGTAGTTGTCACCTGAAGGATCCATGCGCCTTTCAAGAAAGGTTGAATCTTATTTTATAGCGTAACATTCTAAGCCAACATGGAGTCGGGGTCCAACAACTTCCTACCGCCGCCGGAATGTCCGGTGTTTGAGCCCAGCTGGGCAGAATTCCTGGACCCGCTTGGTTACATTGCGAAAATTAGGCCTATCGCCGAGAAATCTGGCATTTGCAAGATCCGCCCGCCCGCGGTAAGCCTTTGAAGTAAAACTTGGAATGGGAGGGGTTAATTGAGGTGGGAACACTGTATGGCTTGACAAGGCCTTAGATTTAGATCCACAACCCATAGCGGTTCATTGACTCCTTAAAATGCTGGCGTCAGAAAACTACTATCCCATAGCCAGATTCGTGGGGTTACAAATATCTGTTTTAGGTGCGAAAAAAGGTCTGACTCGAAATGTTTTTATATAGTCATTCTTACACCCATTTATGATACAGAAGTATTTACTTGTTTTATATTTAAACTAAAAAAATGTAATATGTTCAGAAATATTTGATACCTAACAAAAACAAAGAACAAGTGACACTATTTTGTGCAAATAGTTACTTACCACAGGGTGTTTTCTTTCATATGATCTCGGGAGTATGTACCAAACGTACATAGTATGTAAAGGAATCCTTACCACCAGTTAACTTTGAATTGTTTCCTTTAGAGGCCTTTCCTCCTCATTTGGTATACTCAGAACTACTACTAGAAACTAACAGAACTTTGGCTTAATTAAGAATACAAGCCGAAATTAGCTTGGGGCCATCATCTTAAACGACTAACTTAACATCCAGAGTTGATGTCAGCTTTTTACACAGCATGCTGTTCTTTTCTCAATTGTTCAACCTAAGACTGCGCTTGTTTTCTTCTATTCAGGTGTTCATACTTCTCTCAATATTGGTAATTATACATTGATTACTTGCAGCTATTCCAAACTACCAAGAATAGGAAGAGTTAATGGCTTAGGTGTAAAAATGAAACAATTTCTTACGCACGTTATGTTTATCTTCAGTTTAGCAAGGATTCTCCTCATAACGCAAATGGGCTAGTTTTTATTTGGGTGTACCTCATTCTTTTTTAAGTCAGCTTCTAGGCCTGAATTGGTGATTTTTTGTTTTGCTCTTCGTTTTAGGGGTTTTTTCAATTGTTTATGGAGACATACCAAGGAGAGTTTTGGGTCAGTAGAATTTTTTTTTTTTTTTTGCTTGTAGTGACCCAGTTGTCAACAGGCAATCCTTTGAGACCTTCAGAGGCTTCAGAAAAAGCAACCACAAGAGTCCTAAAACAGGGAAATCCTAAGGTGGAAGCAAATGATTCTGGTTCTCACCATCTTTAGTTTTTGTTGTGCCTTAATTACCAGGTCCTTTTATTTTTTTCTAGGACTGGCAACCTCCTTTTGCAGTGGAAGTTGACAACTTCAGATTTACTCCTCGAATCCAGAGGCTAAATGAACTAGAGGTAAGGTTGGGAGGCACACTTTTATACAGGAATGGAGACCTCTAATTTTGCCTTACTTGTAGTTTTATAGCAATGTAGGTAAGAATTGAGACTTTGAAATCAAATATACTTAATTCTGATTCCAACTTCATCACTTCCCAGAATATTGATCTTGGGGAAGGTTTTCTGTAAAATATATCATTAGAGTTTGCAGAATGACAGGACATGAAGAATGCTTTAATTTTCTGGAAATGGATGACATATTCTTCTGCTATGGAATGTGCTAAAGTTAGAAAGTTATTAAGAAAATACTCACATATTGTATCATTTTGGATTTTCCCTCACTTCGAAAAAGCAGAGTTCAATGCACAAATAAGATCTTTTAAATTTGCAGCACAAGGCTGCTGGTATTACATATGTTCTTCTTGAATGAATGGGTAATAAAAGGCAAAGCTTGCTTTTTAAAGCAGTCAAGTAAGTCTTCATATTCAGCTTAGTATTACATTTAGAAAGTGTGTGAATGGTTTGGCATTTTCTTTTGCCGTTAGGATTTTAACTATGATCAGTGGCTGGAAGCTCTATGTGGATCAGGCTAAGGAAGGATAGTTTCATGTCCACGTTTCTGACTATTATAAAAAAATATTTTAGTCCCTTTGGTTGTGTATTTACATACTTTACATGGGTATCTTACAGAAGATATTAGATTGACCCTAAGTGCTAAATAGTCTTGGTCAAGACATTTTTCTAAGCATAGTTCTTTAAATTTAGGGATGAAGGATTTTGACTCTATGGCATCACCTTTAAAGCTCCAGACAGATTAAAGATTCAGCTTATTTGAGTTTTTTGTGGATACCAGTGGTTAGTGCGGCAGTGAAGACTTGGCTCTAGGGCATTAGTAGAAAAATGTAGGTACTATAGAACAATGCTTGTTCATCTGTTTCATGGTGGATCAAAGTCAGGTTAAGGAGTAAGCCAACTTCATGGAGTCTTCTCTTCTCCAGGCTCAGACCAGAGTGAAATTGAACTATTTAGATCAGATTGCAAAATTCTGGGAAATCCAAGGCTCTTCATTAAAGATTCCCAATGTAGAGCGGAGGATTTTGGACCTTTACAGCCTTAGTAAGGTAAGAGTAGTCTGCTTTCAAAAGGTGAAACAAATGAAAAAGCTTTGGGAGGGAGAGTTCCTCTGTGATAGAACTTAAAGGTTGGGTGAAGAAATGCCCAGGAAAGAGAGAATATAGAACCTGGCAGCATTTCTTGATACAGTCTTTGAGTTTTGGAGTAGTTGGTATTGTGGGGGAGGGCACAGCTCCCAGATTTCAATGTTCTTTGGTATTTTCAGGTTTCTGCAGTCTGTTCACAGTTCATTCATACTCTTTCTTATACTTTCAGATTGTGATGGAAGAAGGTGGCTATGAAGCCATCTGCAAGCATCGGCGGTGGGCCCGAATTGCCCAGCGCCTAAGCTACCCACCAGGCAAAAACATTGGCTCCCTGCTACGATCTCACTATGAACGCATTATTTACCCTTATGAAATGTTTCAGTCTGGAGCTAACCTTGTGGTGAGGGCACTTGGCTGGTTGGGGGCCAAATGTGGTTTTGTTCTTTTTGTTCTTCTCCTTTCTGGGTTGGGTTTTTCTCCTTAATAGTCAAGGTTTAGAGACTTTAAGTCTGTTGATAGTATCAGGAGTTCCAGGAATTGACACTGGAAAATATATTTTAGCACGTTTGTATAAAGAAGTTTCATACTTTCTAGGTTAGCTAGATGAGAACTACAGTGTCCATTTCCTCTATCTTAGTAGACTGCTGTTCTACTAAGATGTTTTTATGGTCGGTATCTTAGAGTAGAAGTTAGAGAAAAGAAATTGCTATCTTAGATTGTCCTTCATGAGAAAGATAATCACGTTATGAAATTACTAAGCCTTCTGAGAGTGGTATACATAGAGGGAGTTTAGGGAGAAGATCTTGGTATTACTCAGGCTTACCTCTAGAAGTTGGAACTGATTTAGCTGGTTTGTTTGAATAAATTTTTAGATTTTATAATCCACAACACACTGTTTTAGAAACTTTGTTAAGAACTATGTGTGTGTATATATGTGTATAAACACATTTTATTTAATCTGCACTTTCCATTGGATTGATATTTGATATTTTTATTATGTGTTTTTCAGACCAGGAAATTGGAGCACAAGGAGAGGTCCACTATTTTTTAAATAAGGCGTACAGAATAAGTGTGATAAACCTAGGTTCAAATCTAGGTGGTTTAAAGACCATGTTTTTCACTATATTCTACTGCTCATTCATAAGCAAAAAAGCACAGGGTAGTTTTCAGGATATGTGTTTTATCACTCCAGAGAAAAAGAGGGATGGATTTGTGTAAATTTAGCAAAACTACAGCTTTCTTCACCAGAGGTTTAGGATGAAGGAATCATTTAGTCATTTGCTAACTGCAAATGTGACTCAATTCCTTATCCTGCATTTTTTTTTTCATGTTTAGCAGTGTAACACACACCCATTTGACAATGAGGAAAAAGACAAGGAATACAAACCCCACAGCATCCCGCTTAGACAGTCTGTTCAGCCTTCAAAGTTCAGCAACTACAGTCGGCGAGCAAAAAGACTGCATCCTGACGTGAGTGTCATTTTGTTTCTATAAGCTGCCAAAGTTCATCTGGAACCTGCACTTGAGGAAAATCTATTTCTGTAAGGCATTATTTTTTTTTATTTTTATTTTTTTCCTTTTTTATCTTTTTTACTGACTGGTAACGGGATCGCAACCCTCGGTGTCGCGCCCGTACCGAGGACCAGCAACGGGATCGCAACCCTCGGTGTCGCGCCCGTACCGAGGACCAGCAACGGGATTGCAACCCTCGGTGTTGCTCCTGCACCGCGCTCAGCCAGTGAGCAGGAACCGGTCTCCACATGGGATCTGAACCCTCGGCGAGAGTGCCGCTGCGCTCCCAAGTGGCGCACCGGGCCAGCCCAAGGCATTATTTTTTTATGTATAGTTGGTTCAAGATGGAATTAATTGGAAATAGTGAGTTTTGTTCATGATTATTGTTTACAGTGTTTTTGTAGTTTTGCTTTTATACTTTTTAAAAACAAACATTCTTTTAATATGGTTTTTAGTTAATCATAAAATGTTTTTTCTAGAGCACACTGTACAGTTGTTTTTTTGAACTGTTGGTTTTTGTTCTGTGATCTTTTCATGAGATGGTCAGTAAGGTATGGTGACAAGGGGAGACATAGGAGAGGCTCAGGAAAACAAAGTACTTACAGGTTCTAGAGAGGGAGTTACCACATGCCTTACAGAGGGTTACAGGGAAGGAAATACCGCATTGGTCAGAAAGCAGAAGGAGAAAGAACAGGGTAGAACATTAGGGCTCTGCTTTTATTGGAGTTTTCTACAGGAAAGGGCAGGTAGACAGCTTAGGATTGGCTAGTTTGAGTAATTTTTGCAGGCTCTAGGATATAGGGGTGGTCTCTAGATACCTGGCACCTGGCCCTAATATAATTAGGGCAGAGAAATATTGTTTCCTGGGGTGTATGGATGATCAGATAGAAGAGATGGGGCTCTGATTGGTTAGATTGCATATCAAAGACATGCTCCGACTGTGCCCTTTGCTATCTCTTAATAATTGAATAGCCTGGGGAGAGGCACTCTCTTTCAGACAGAAAGATTTTTTTTTTTTTTTTTTTGAGACCGGCCGTGCCGCGCTCAGCCAGTGAGCGCTGTGAGCGCACCGGTCATCCCCACATAGGATCTGAACCCACTGCGGGAGCGCTGCTGCGCTCCCAGTGCTGCACTCTACCGAGTGTGCCACGGGCTCGGCCCCAGAAAGATTTTTTTAAGATGTGAAAACATTTGTATATCTTCCTTAGAGAAATGCCTGCTTAGCTCTCTTGCCCATTTTTTAATTGGGTTTGGTCCCAGCCCTATTTGCTGAAGGGTTTCTCCTATGTTTTCTTTAATAAGTTTTATTGTTTCGGGGTGTATATTTAAATCCTTGATCCATTTTGAGTTGATTTTAGTACATGGTGAGAGGTATGGGTCTAGTTTC